AGGGTGGGGGTAAGGGGAAGAGATCAACCAAAGGACTTGTATGCATGCATATAAGCCAAACCAATGGACATGGACAACAGGGGGATGAGAACATGAGGTTGGGGGTTAATAGGGGGATGAGGACACATTTGTAATACCTTAACCAATAAAGAAATTTTAAAAAATTAAAAAAGGAAATTATAATATATGTTTTTCAATGTGTATTTGGGCACAACTACACTAGGTGACTAAGAAACATGAAGTAGCCCGATGCCTGGATCTGTATGTAGAACCACCTGTGAGTTCCAAAAATATAAATACAGGTATGTGTTAGGTTACACGTTCCTCCTTCAGCGACCTAACAGTATGCTGTATTGGTGACTACAGAGAGAGAAAGAAAAAGAAAGAGAGAGAGAAGTTGCCACTGTTAACTTGGTCTGAAATGTGAACAATGGTTCGTAAAATTCAGAATAAAAAACATTCTTCTCTTACTTTACCTAGTAATTGCAAACCAAGAATGTTCCATGTATTTTAAAGTCATACTAACAACGTACTGTATTTATATTTATGGTGGAGTTAGATTTGAAGTTCAGACAATAGCAAACAGGTAGATTTTCACCTACATGAATATCCCCTATACAGCCTGAGCCAGTCCTCTGTTACTGTGAAAATTGAAATACCCCTGTTGGTGTGGTTGAGCATAGAACTATGAACTGGGAGATTCCTGGTCAGGGCACATGCCTAGGTTGCAGGCTCAATCCCCAGAAGGAGGTGTGCAGGTAGCAGCCGATTGATGTTTCTCTCTTATCAATGTTTGTATCTCTCACCCCCTCTCCATTCCTTTCTTTATAAAAATACATAAAAACATTATTTAAGCCCTAACTGGTTTGGCTCAGTGGATAGAGCGTCGGCCTGCAGACTCAAGGGTCCCGGGTTCGATTCCAGTCAAGGGCATGTACCTTGGTTGCGGGCACATCCTCAGTAGGGGGTGTGCGTGAGGCAGCTGATCGATGTTTCTCTCTCATCGATGTTTCGGGCTCTCTATCTCTCTCCCTTCCTCTCTGTAAAAAATCAATAAAATATATTTAAAAAACATTATTTTAAAAAATCACTACTCTAGACTGCTATAATTAATGTTTACCCAGTGTTTGCCTGAAGTCAAGAGGCATTCTTTTTTTTTTTTTAAATATTTTTATTGATTTCAGAAAGGACGGGAGAGGAAGAGAGAGATAGAAACATCAATGATGAGAGGGAATCATTGATTGGCTGCCTCCTGCAGGTTGGACCAAGCATGTACCCACAACCCAGGCATGTGCCCTTGACCGGAATCGAACCTGGGACCCTTCAGTCCGCAGGCTGACACTCTATCCACCCAGCCAAACCGGCCAGGGCAAGAGGCATTCTTTATAATAGAAAACATATAAGACATTTCTTCCCCTAAAGCAGGGTGTGGGGCTTCCAGGAGGCAGCAATCAGTGACTCTCTCATCACTGATGTTTCTCTCTCTCTCTCTCTCCCTCTTCATTCCTCTCTGAAATCAATAAAAATATATTTTAGCGCTGCCTTCCTCCTGGCGGTGGCCATTTTAACCTTTTAGGTGTTTTTTCACAGATTCACAGGCTTCAGGGGGCTGGTCGTGAGGAGGAGGCGGCCTGGGAGGCAGCGCGCCTGCTGTGCGGGGTGTGTCTGAGGTTCCTTGAGCCCAACAGCACGAGAGTGGGGTCCCCATGCCTCCCGGACTCCTCTCTGCTCACAGCGTCCCCGCAGCCTGACCCCATTTCACCCTCCAGCCTTGGGGACCCGGCCTCTCAGGTCCCGCCGGCCAGGTCCCAGCGCTCACAATGGATATGAACTGTGAGGACGTGGCCATTGTCTTCTCTCAGGAAGAGTGGGGGCTCCTTGATGAGGCTCAGAGACTTCTGTACTGCGATGTGATGCTGTGTTTGCACTTGTGTCATCTGTAGGTTGTTGGCATAAAATCGATGGTGATGAGGCCTGAGCTGCTCAGAGTGTATCTATAAAAGGAGAGTCGCAGGTCAGGGCTTCTAAGACAGCTCCAAGCAGCCAGAAGATCCCTTGTGTAAGCGGTGTTTCTCTGTGTTAAAAGGGATTTTGCAAATGACTGGGTCACGAAAGTGTTTAGACAAAACTTGAATGTCATTCGACATAAGAGAGTTCACACTGGAGAAAAGCAGTATGAATATAGTGAATGTGGGAAGTTCTTCAGAGAAAGACCTGAACTCATTAGACACCAGAGAGTTCACACTGCAGAGAACCCATATGAGTGTATGGAATGTGGGAAGTCTTTTAGCCAAAAATCCAACTTTACAAAGCACCTGAGAGTTCACAGTGGCAACAAGCAATATGAATGCTCTGATTGTGGAAAGTCCTTCAAAGAACAGTCTTATCTCAAACAACACCAGAGATTTCACACTGGAGAGAAGCCCTATAAGTGTACAAAATGTGGGGTGTCATTTCATATAAGGTCTCACCTCACTGCACACCTCAGAGTTCACACTGGAGAGAAGCCATATGAATATACTGAATGTGGGAAGTCTTTTAGCCAAAAATCTTGCCTTATTAGGCACCTGAGAGTTCACAGTGATGACAAGCCATAGAGTGCTCTGATTGTGGGAAGTCCTTCAATGATAAGTCTTATCTCAAGCAACACCAGAGAGTTCACAGTGATGAAAAGCCATTTGAGTGTAGACAATGTGGGGTGTCCTTTCGTCGAAGGGCCAACCTCACTGGACATCTCAGAGTTCACACTGGAGAGAAGCAATATGAATGTACTGAATGTTGGAAGTCTTTTAGCCGAAAATGCGACCTTATTAAGCACCTGAGAGTTCACAGTGACGACAAGCCGTATTAGTACTGTGATTGTGGAAAGTCCTTCAGTGATAAGCCTATTCTCAAACAATTCCAGAGAGTTCACCCTGGAGAAAAGTCCTATAAGTATAGAGAATGTGGGATGTCCTTTCCTTGAAGGGCTCATGTCACCACAGAGTTCACACTGGAGAGGTGTTAAATGTGCAGGGAA